ATTTTATATAGGATTTAATTTAGAAAAGCTGAGAATGAGAAAATTCCTGAATTTCCATTTGGTATCTACTCGAGAGAATAAAAATTCGATCACATAAAACCCGTTACCTCAGATTTCTAAATTGATTTTAGAGGCTGTGGTTAGGATCGATATCACTATAATCTCACCTGAGTGATCTGTCGAATACGATCTATAAAAGCCATCAAGTGAACGTGCCGGTGGGGGAAGGGTGTATGAGATGCGTTTACTCGCGTTGGGAACAATTCTTGTGAAAGCCCTGTCAACACTAACAAGAGTTCAGTTCCGTAAACCCCTACCTGTTTGGCCTGAAGGCCTTCCACTCATAAAAACCGAACGAAAAATTTATGAGAGAACAAACATAAATGTGGTTAAAAATTTTAACTTCCACCGCCGCGTCGACCGCACTGTATTGGCGCAATGCGTGAAGTATTCATGCAGTCTTGTAGGCGCTATGCGTTTCACGCCGACCGCTACTGACCGCACTGTTTGGCGCAATGCGAGAGGTATTCATGCAGTCTTGTAGGCGCTATACGTTATATGCTGACCGCCGCGCCGCTCCGTTCCAAGGTCAAATTGCGTGTTGGGTTTCTCTCTAACTCGACTAATTAAAGGTGTTGTCTCTTGTATCACCGAAAGAACACAAAATTAGAAATTGCTGTACTTTTACTCTCAGGAAATGAGAGATTTTGTCGCCTTTTCTCGTTTGTAATTTATTTTCTGAATCAGATTTTTCCTCTCTCTTTTTGATACCTACATTCAAAACGATTGCAAAATTTGCCGCCCCCTACATTTGGCCGCCATGAGCCGCGGCCCATGTGGCCATCCCCTTAATCCGTCCCTGCCCGGGAATGGGAAAGGGTCTCCACGTTGCATTTTTGGACGGAAAATTCGTGATGATTTAGAATAGAGTTGCGTTTTTTTACGATTATTTGGCGATAAAATAGCTGTGATCATCAACATTTGAGCGATTATCCTCAATCTTGTCGCAAAATCACAATCCTCTACGTGCAATAAATAGGTACCAAATGAATAGAATTACAAACTATGTTTAGGACTCACTGTAGGAAGTTTTTAGGCACGCATTTATCTTGCTCCATATAACCTATCGAGTTTTAGGATCTTTTAACCAGTGATTTTAATAAACTTTGAGAGGGAGCATGCCTGCTAAAGAGTAGTTTGCACAAATGGGGTTTTTTCGATAAAGCTACAAACTTCAGCATATCAAATTATTTATTTCATTCGTTCATAAATACAATAAATACTGAAACAGGAGGTACCCAACATGTATCGAAATTAGTACCGAATTGAAAAAATGCAGAGTCTAATATGATTGAAATCAAAGAAAATTCAAACTGACACTTTTGACATCATCAGAGCAGAGATAAGAACAGACAAGAGAGGACAGGTAGACACCAAGATTTGTTATCAGAGTAAGAGAGAATGGTTACAAAATCGCACAATTGGAAGAGACAAATGATAGAGAAAGAAATTGCTTCTAAAAACGCTCAGTTGGGCTTACTTTGAAGTGTTCCTAGCTGAACTGCAATTCCTAAATAAGGTTCCAACATTTGAGAAAGCCCCTGGCAGTCTCATAATCAGCCTGTTGATTAATCAACTTGCATGATGCACGCAATGACTGTTGCCTTTTTTAATTTAGACGTTTATCTACATGATTTTTCCTTGAAATATATTCAAAACTGAGACAGGCTACAGTGGAACTGTCTAAAATAAGTACATAAGTAATGATAATAAGAACGAATACACTTTCTTCTGGAAAAAATTCAGAGATTTTTTAAATTTCCTCCACAACTGATTTGTTTGAACTAAACTCGTGACTGATTGCTTCATCCACTGAATTAGCTCCTAACGCATCAGAAAATTTTTTTTGAGAGTTTCTGTTGTTAAAGGAAGAGTAAGCATTATGAAAGGATGAGAAATAATCATCAGCAGAGGAAAGAAAGGAGAGAAAACTGAGCGAATGAATCATTACCGATGCAACTTAATCATTAATAATGGTACCTAAAAGAAATTGTGAGAATGGTAGTGTAAATCAATCCTTCTGTAGAAACCATAAGCCATGAAAGCAAGAATGGCGTTTTAATCAGAATGAATAATCTTTGAGTCTACTGAGGGAGTCAAAAATGATAAGATCCATCCCTTTGCTGAGGATATGAATCCAATATAGAGAGAGGCTGTCGTATAAAAACCACGACAGATGACGTCTTTCATAGCATGAGTGCAAATTACAATTTTTTCTAAAATGGCCGCTGAATAATTCGGATTAAAGGAACCAAGTGGTTTTTTTTTTTTTTTTTTTTTTAAATTAAGAAGCTTCACGAATTGGCGAGATTTTTAACTAAAGAGAATAATGCAAGATTTCGAACCAAGATTCAAGACAAATAAAGAAAATAGAAAATGAAAATGAAAAATTAAACAACCATAATGATACACAGATGAGAGGCAGGAAAGAGCACCCACTACCTGCTCGAATGGAGCTTTATTTGAAAGCAATACGATTTGTAGTTAGACAAAAACCCAAAACAAAAACAAAACCGACATCCATTTTACTTGGAGAAAAAAATTTGTAATTTTGGACTGGGTTAAGGAATCTTGGCATCATTGGTCAACTTAGTTTTCAATCAGGGCTAGTGCTTCGAATACATTGTCACCAATATCAAGTTGGTCTAGATAAGATTGCAAGATTTCCAGAGCAAACAGCCTATGAGGAATTGCCAATTGCAGCGCATCAGATCCAGTCATTTCAAATTACCAAGCGCTTGTTCAAACTATGTCGAATCATAGAGGTTGCTATCAAGCCAACAAAAATTTCGAATTACTATGGGGGG